TTTTCAAAATAATTTAAAAATACTCTTAAAAATAAAAAATTATTGAAATAGAAAAAAAAATCTTATAAGAGTAGAGAATATTTGATTTAATTTAGAGTTAATTTAAAAATAAACAGAGAAAGAAAAAACTGTTCAAATATTTAAAATTTTTATAATATCATTTTCAACTTCACTTGAATTTTTATTCAGATTACTCTCTAAAAATATACTTCCTTTTTATTTGAATAATAATTTTAAATCTATTCCTGATTGATTTGCAAAATATCCTTATAAAATTAGAGCACCTCTTGCTTAAAATATAGCTTATTAAGATATTAATAGAATATTAATATGAGAATTTGCTAAAAATATAATAATAATTGGTACCATCTGCAATATAAATATTTTAATATAAGGGTTATATAAATTAAACTAAAAGATCTTAATATTTTTTATCTGAAGGCAAAATAAATTAGCCAGTTTTAACATCCCATAATCTGATTGAGTTATCATCACTACAAGATGCTAAAGTAGTTCCATCTGGTGAGAAGCATACTGATTTGACATAATTAGTATGACCATCCAATTTGGCTTTTTATTATCCAGTCTTAACATTCCATAATCGTATTGAGTTATCACTACTACCAGATGCTAAAGTAGTTCCATCAGGTGAGAAGCATACTGAGTTTATACAATTAGAATGACCATCTAATTGGGCTTTTTATTATCCTGTTTTAACATCCCATAATCTGATTGACAAATCCCAACTACTAGATGCTAAATTAGTCCCATCTGGTGAGAAGCATATTGATGACACACGACCACTATGACCGTCTAATTTGGCTTTTTATTATCCAGTTTTAACATTCCATAATCTTATTGAGTTATCTCCCTTAATAAAAGAAACTCCACTACCACTACCAGATACTAAAGTAGTTCCATTTATTGAGAAGCATACTTAATGGACAGTACTAGTATGACCATCTAATTTGGCTTTTTATTATCCTGTTTTGACATCCCATAATCTGATTGACTTATCGTTACTACCAGATGCTAAAGTAGTTCCATCTGGTGAAAAGCATACTGAGTTGACATCACTAGTATGACCATCTAATTTGGCTTTTTATTATCCAGTTTTAACATCCCATAATCTGATTGACTTATCGATGCTAAAGTAGCTCCGTTTGGCGAGAAGCATACTGAAAATACATAACTAGTATGACCATCTAATTTGGCTTTTTATTATCCTGTTTTAACATCCCATAATCTGATTGACTTATCATTACTACCAGATGCTAAAGTAGTTCCATCTGGTGAGAAGCATACTGAATATACAGAATTACTATGACCATCTAATTTGGCTTTTTATTATCCTGTTTTAACATCCCATAATCTGATTGACTTATCATCACTACCAGATGCTAAAGTAGTTCCATCTGGTGAGAAGCATACTGAATATACAGAATTACTATGACCATCTAATTTGGCTTTTTATTATCCTGTTTTAACATCCCATAATCTGATTGACTTATCATCACTACCAGATGCTAAAGTAGTTCCATCTGGTGAGAAGCATACTGAATATACAGAATTACTATGACCATCTAATTTGGCTTTTTATTATCCTGTTTTAACATCCCATAATCTGATTGACTTATCATCACTACCAGATGCTAAAGTAGTTCCATCTGGTGAGAAGCATACTGAATATACAGAATTACTATGACCATCTAATTTGGCTTTTTATTATCCTGTTTTAACATCCCATAATCTGATTGACTTATCATCACTACCAGATGCTAAAGTAGTTCCATCTGGTGAGAAGCATACTGAATATACAGAATTACTATGACCATCTAATTTGGCTTTTTATTATCCTGTTTTAACATCCCATAATCTGATTGACTTATCATCACTACCAGATGCTAAAGTAGTTCCATCTGGTGAGAAGCATACTGAATATACAGAATTACTATGACCATCTAATTTGGCTTTTTATTATCCTGTTTTAACATCCCATAATCTGATTGAGTTATCATCACTACCAGATGCTAAAGTAGTTCCATCTGGTGAGAAGCATACTGAATATACATAATTACTATGACCATCTAATTTGGCTTTTTATTATCCTGTTTTAACATCCCATAATCTGATTGAGTTATCATCACTACCAGATGCTAAAGTAGTTCCATCTGGTGAGAAGCATACTGATTATACAGAACTACTATGACCATCTAATTTGGCTTTTTATTATCCTGTTTTAACATCCCATAATCTGATTGAGTTATCATTACTACCAGATGCTAAAGTAGTTCCATCTGGTGAGAAGCATACTGATAATACTAAATTACTATGACCATCTAATTTGGCTTTTTATTATCCAGTTTTAACATCCCATAATCTGATTGACTTATCCTTGCTACCAGATGCTAAGGTAGCTCCACATGGTGAGAAGCATACTTAGTGTACAACATCTCTATGACCATTCAACTCGTTTAATTCATGAATCTTAATGTTCTTCCAATTACAATTAAAGAGTAGTGCTCCATTAAAATTCACACCACTAATGTCCACATTCTCGAATTCAGATCTACTAAAGTTACATCTTACAAAATTAGCACCAACCAAACTAGTATTCCGTATTCTGATATCTTCAAAGCTTTGGTTACTAAGATCTTCTTAAATCTAGATCAATAAATTTAGTGCATTAGATCCACTTTAAATAAATTTATCATCAATACTAGTAAGATGAACTAATAATTTAAGAAAATCAATTATCTTTCTATTTCCTGCTATCTTCTTGATAAGATTTAATCTTTCTTTTTTATATGTTTCTGTGCTATAATCGTTTTTACTAAAGGAATGATCTAAAATATTTCTTAAAAGATGAGATAGGTTGATATTATTATTTTTAGGATCCTTAAAGTTGTACTAATTACTATTGTTAAAAGATTCGTAAATCTATAAATTTTTTGGCTTTGATAGAAATTCTAAAATATCAAAAATTTTCTCTTCACTCTTTCTATTAAAAATAAGTTTTAATATTGATTTTTCTATATCAACATCTTAAATCAAGGCTAATATATCATAAAGCTTCTCTTACCTTTTCTATTTAATTGGATATTAACTCGATTAAATCCTAAAAATTGATTTAATCTCTTACTTAATTATTAATGACTAAATCTTCTTCATTCCTTCATTTGAAATTTCGATAAAAGCCTTTTTTTAAGTGTTCCAATCAATTAATTTTTTTCCTTCTACAATGGTAATTAATTTTTCTATTTAAGCATAGGAGGATTCTGCTATATTAGTATTTTCATTAATAAGATTAATATATGATTCATTCTACTCTTCAATCCAATCATAAGTTTACTTGATCGACTCCTACAATTATTCCCAAATTTAATTTAGCATTTTTTCGGTTTAAGAGACCAGAGATTTAAAAGCCATTCTTTATTTGATTAAATCAGGTGTCAAATCAACCTTAAATTCTTAGAATTTCACGATAGCCATTTCTTTAAATTTCTTAATTGAGACTGTTTGTTTAATTTCAACCCCATGGTCTTATTGGCAATCAATACACAATTTTCTTTAACACTTGTGAGGGGCTATACATATTAAAGTAATGGGATTTTAAATGTGATAAGTGCACTACATTATCTTTTTTAAAAAAATAATTGAATTTCTATTACTTTTACAATAAGTTTATAATATGAGTCTCAAATCTCTTAGTTAAATGCAAAACTGAGAGAAAATGAGGATTTGAATGTTATTGATGTAAAATCAACAAATTTTAAATCATATGAACTTATGCAAAGCTTGGATCTTTCAAAATATAGAATTAAATTAATAACTTAATTTTGAAAATTTATATAATTAATTAATTAGATTGAAGTGTTGCTATTTTATAATTATCTGTTGCAAGTCAAATTATATAATTTTTTCACTCTAAGTGAAGTTTTATTAATAATTTATTGATAGATAATAATTGAATGTATCGCGAATGTAACTGAAAGTTGAAAATCTAATTTCAATGTTTTTTGCAAATATTTTTAAATTCTAGTTTTTATTTTTTTAAAATTGTTGTGGAAATAATTTTTTAATTAATTTCTATAATTATGGCAAGTTTATTTTCAAATTTTCAAACTTAATCGGAAATGATCGCGAGTTTTTTAGATATCTCCAATACGTTTAAGATTCTCACAATCAAGCTTTAAGCTTTTGTATTTTTCCAATTTTTCAATCTCTTTTTAAGATTCTTCCTGATTATGATTTTTTTTTGATAATCTTTACACATAGAGGTTCCTTTTAATTACCATATATTCTTTTACATTCATAAATATTTCCAAATAATCCCATGCCTAATAGATTTTTTTGATTTTAATAGCTTATATATTAACCTTTAATATTATTTTCTATTTCGTAATTAAATTTATTAAGTTTATAATATAAAATTTTTTTTAAAGATATTGTAAAGTCATTTAATAAATAATTATTAATTTCTATCTTCGATTGATGGATGAGTTCTAATAGGATACACTTTTCCATTTGTTTCATTCTGAACTGCAAATAAAAGCATATCAAGATTTCAAATATACTTATATTGTGCAATAGATTATCAATTTCTTATTTAATTAATTAATGATATCGAAAATTAAAATCACTCCATTTATTATTAGCAGTAAATTGTAAATGAATTTTATTAATTAAATAATTATTTACCTTCAAGGTAGGTTTCAGTAGCAACAAATTAAGCAAAAGCATTAGTGAACAATTTCGATGTTAGAATGACTAAGAATAATAATTAAAATTGTTATTTTTAATTATAAAAAGTAATATTATAATAAATATTATTATATAAATACTTATTATCTCTCATTTTTAATTCATATAAACATGAAATTGCCAAATCATTCTAGATTATTATTAAATCAACTTATACATATATATAATTTTAAAATAATATTAACTTACATAAATCATCTGATTTATACTATTGTTTAATTAAATTAAAATTCCTGAGTTTTTATATTATGATACTCACTTAATTTATTTTAAAAAACCTTAATTAGATGCAATAATCATTAAAAGTCGCATAAAATAATAAATCAAATATAAAGGAAAGGTTAAATTAAATATTTGAGTTAAATCCAAGTCCTTAAGAAAATATGCGTAAATTATTTAGATTTTATTTAAGATTTTAATGTTGGATTTGCTTAAAAAGGCCACTATTTATGAACTATTTGAATAACCTCTAGGTACTCCTTTGTAAGTCGCACCATAATTAATTGGTAATGTCCAATATACATCTAAATGTGATTTATGGTCGATAGGAATTATAGCTTATTAATTAATATATGGAAAGTAACCTAGGCCTAATTGAGATTATAAATCTTATCTAAAGAATATTCATTGTTATCCCATTAGATTTCCTATTGAAAAAACAGCGTTCGAGTAATATAAAAGTACTTAAATAATATCATAGATTTCATAAGATAATGTTTGGAAATTGATGAAAGGTAGAGATTAAATTGGTCAGAACTATTTGAACATTCATGCTTTCATTCTAGAGCTTTGAAATACAATAGAAAAAGTAATAATAAAACAATATAAATAAGAATATATAAGTTGAAAGCCAATTTGATAATTATACACTGGAGCATTTATATCTTATAATAAAAATTAGAAAAGGAAGAATAATTTAAGTTATTTGATATCAATTAAGAAGGAACCTTAAATTAGAATTTTTTAGATTTATACAAAGAGAAGATCCTTCATTAAGTGATTCAGAATTATTTAAGATAAAGAAATTAAATAAGAATTAAGTTAAAATTAATTTAAATACTTTTTAGTAATGACGAAGAACCTGAAATAGGAGAAAAGTTTATTCTTTATTGATACTTTGGATAAAGAATTTAAAATATCATAAAGATCAATTGATAAGCCATTCCTAATGTCAATAGAAGGCAAACATAATAATATTTATTGATATCATATTGCTGGTAGAGGAAAAGTTGTCACCGGAACTAATGATTAAGATAAAGTATCAATCAAAGATAATGTTGAAATTTTAGGATATAATAAACCAAAGTAAACTGCAGTCGAAACTTTTAAAAAACACTTAATTATGGAGAAGCTGGCAACAATGTAGGAATTCTTATTAGAGGTCTTACAAAAGATGATGTAAGAAGAGGATAAACTTTGTGTAAACCAGCAGCCTTAACAACACACAATTGCATTGAATCGAATCTATAAATTTTAAAGGAATAAGATAGAAATCGTAAAAAACCATTCCCAAATGGTTATCGTCCATAAGTAAATGTAAATTAT